CTTAAAAATGAACACAAACTTACTGCTTCATCCATTCATTCATTTATTTATTTTCCTTTGGCTTAGTCCCTTTATTCATCAGGGGTCACCACAGTGGAATGAACCGCCAACTTATTCAGCATATGTTTTACACAGCGGATGCCCTTCCAGCTGCAACCCAGTACTGGCAAACACCTATTCACACTCAGACACCTGTACCTCATGTCTTTAAACTGTGATGGAAACCAGAGCACCCGGAGGAAACTCATGTGAACACAGGGATGCCAGTGATCCAGTTGGGTCTCAAAACAGCGACCTTTTTGCTGTGAGGCGACAGTGCTACCAACTGCGTCACTGTGTCACCCCTCTTTCATACACCCGATAAACAAGCTTAGTTTTCAATCGTCACGTCACGTCACGTCACCCATGCATGAATTATTTAAATATCAACATTCCTGTTCAACACAAAAATGTTTGTCCAAACTCAGTTAAACACGTAGACATAACATTTTAGCGAATATTGTTGACATAACATATATTTTTATGTAATCAATTCTTAGTCACAAATCTTAGTATATATGACAGAAAAAGTATAGAGTGCTAAACAAATGGTGATTTAGTTTTTTACTATTAACTATATTTATTTACTAACGAAATAAAACACTAATAGGCTACAAGAACTGAGTTCTTTAAACAAACAACATACATATTTGTTTATTCTCAACAATTTATTTCAACTTTTTTAATTTAGAAGGTTTTAAAAACATAATGAATTTATTTTCAAATCTTATTTTAATACATATCTATATATAGTTGAAGTCATTATTATTAGCCCCCCTTTGAATTTCTTTTTCTTTTTTAAATATTTCCCAAGTAATGTTCAACAAGGAAACTTTCACAGTATTTCTGATAATATTTTGTCTTCTGGAGAAAGTCTTATTTGTTTTATTTTGGCTAGAATAAAAGCAGTTTTTAATAAAAAATAAATAAAATTTAAGGTCAAAATTATTAGCCCCTTCAAGCTATATTTTTTTCAATAGTCTACAGAACCATCATTATACAATAACTTGCCTAATTACCCTAACTTGCTATTAACGTTATGCCTTTAAATGTCACTTTAAGCTGCATAGAAGTGTCTTGAAAAATATCTAGACAAATATTATTTACTGTCATCATTGCAAAGATAAAATAAATCAGTTATTAGAAATGAGTTATTAAAGCTATTATGTTTATAAATGTTAAAAAAGAAACCTCTCTCTGTTAAACAGAAATTGGGGAAAAAATAAACAAGCGGTCTAATAATTCTGACTTCAACTGTATATATATATATATATATATATATATATATATATATATATACACCCTCATGTTGTTTCAATCCATATATATATATATATGCAGGCGATCCACAGTCAACTCAACTCAATCTGATCTCACCAAAAAATATCTTTTTAGAAAATAAAAAATACAAACTGGTTTTCCTCTGTTATCAAAGTGGCTATATTAAGGTTAGCAACATCATTGGTAAATTAAAACAATGCTGTAAATCCTTTAATTTTATTCAAATTCATTTTTATATCGAAATCATCAAAAAGTCTCAAAAACATGTAAACTAATTCCCTCAGTCACACAGAAATACCAACTGACCCAGCCGGGACTCTAACTAACCACTGACCTACAGTGCTGCCTCTTTGCTTTTTTCTTTTATATTTAGAGAATATAAGAGTGTATGCAGTATGAGTACATTTTTGTGGCATGAGCAACATGACTTTTATGACTTGAATGCTTTAGATGTCGAAAGATAAAGAACTGATAGCTATAGGCAAAAATTGGTGGAAAATATTTATTGATTGAAAATATTCCACTACGGTGGAAAAGTTTATTGGTGGAAAAGGAGTATGTGTGTTCAGCCAATTTGATTGTTTCTTTCTACGTATGTGTAGGCTAATACACTCATAGAGTAATACAAATCTGGATTTTATTTTTATTTCGTTAGCCCAAGTCATAGGGTTGTATGTTTAGAATGTCATCTAGACTTGTTTTCTCTTTTGATACAACGCAAACTGATAATAAGTTATGTTTGACAAAAAATATATATATTTCACGGTTGTTAGACTTTATGACCTACAAAAACAAGAAACTTTAGTCCACAGAAAAGGAAACGCCATCATCTTCCTTAAACGTGAAAACGAGTGGAGAAACCAGAATCAGGGCACCCAATCCTGTTTCTGAGATTTACGATTTTTACAAACTGAAATATGTTCCTGGATCAACATCTTTGTTGTTAGTTTATCTTACATTTAGGATTAGAGTTAGTGAAAAGTGCTTCTACATCATTGCTACAGCACATTGTGATATAGCACTTCTATATTACAGATTGGTGTGTTTGACACATTGGTCTCCTATGGTTCTTGGGGATGGTTAAAGTGCTACTGTATATAGCACTATACTGTTGCTGCTTGTAATTATGATTGAACAACTTTAAGTGCTAGAACTGTTTATAGAGTGTATATAATGAAGTGAGTATTGTTTAATTAAATATGTTTTGGATGAACAATCCCTTTAATCATTTAATCTGCCAAGACCTCGATATCTGGCCTTGTTTGGATATGATCAATAACATTCACTTCATCTATGACTCATTTTTTGCTCATCAGTGTGTCATAAGTCATACAATCTGAAGTATTTGTGAATGATGATAACATTTAATTAATGAAGTATCTGAAATTTGAGCATTAAAAGGTAAAGAAACAAAGTTGAAAGAACAGCCCTAGAGCCTAATCCATGTGCACAACTGGGCAAAGAAATCATCTTAATTCATTAAAGACAAACTGAGGGGAAATAAATTTATCTGATATAAACTAAAAATGAAAGCAAAAGAAGCAGTCATGATAAAGTGCTGCAAAACCAGTAAGGAATGTACAGTCAAAAACAGAAAACAGGAAACAAAATATGAGAAAAAATCTGAACTCAACATTTAACTATGTAACTAAACTGTGTGTGTCAACCCAAGAATATTTATTACTTTTTTTGTGAGTGGCAAATTTCCAAGTCATGTCAGTCAAATGAACCAACCTTTTTTTTTTAGTTGGTGAGAGTTGAATGCTTAACCTTGGGTAACACAGTGCTCGCTACTGTCCACTTTTAACCAGCTGTCCAATCACAGCTGAGATTTACAAATACTACAGTAAACTTAAAATTTAGAACCAAACTATAATAAAGTATTTGAATTAATCTGTTGAGAAAATTCTGAGGTATTGTAATACAACACCTATAGTGACACAAACAAATTACCCATTCCTCTACTAGGTTCTAATATAACTATAGGGTATTACAATATACCACAGGTTATTGTAGTAAAAACTGAAAGTATTCTACAGTATTCGTTGTAGTTTATCATTTAACCATAGTTTAAGCGCACCTATTTTACCCCCTTTTCAAGATTTAAGATAAGTCTTTTGTGTCTTCTGAATGTGTCTGTAAAGTTTCAGCTCAAAACACCCATCAGATTATTTATTGTACCTTTCAGAATTTTCTGCTTTTAACGCTATATAGCTGTTTTTGGTGCCTGTGCCTTTAAAGCTAGTTCTCCCCGCCCACCATTCCCATGTGCCTGTCAGAGTGTGCCTCAATCTCCGCCTCGGCTGTGTCAGATAAGCAGCACAGTGACAGACATGAAGGAAGCAGATCTCACGTAATGTTTGTGAAATACTAGTAAGAACTTTCCCAATGATCATTTAATGTATTTGTTGTGGAGTTGCAACGATCAGTCTCACACAATGTCGTTACAAAGTTCACACACACACACACACACACACACACACACACACACACACACACACACACACACAGCGGGACACACACATGGTGCACGCGTTATGTTAATGTACAAAACAAACCTGCTTTAACGTCCACAAACTAGGATTGAAGCGACTTTTATAATTGTACTGACATGCAGAAGTGATGATAAAGACGGTAAAATCACTGTAATTCATTACAAACATGCACTATTTTAAAAACATTTTAAACTTGTGAAACTCATTCTTGATCACATTTGATGATGATTGATGATCACAAAGAGCTGAACAGATCTTTTAATCCCAGGTGTTTTGCGCACGTCCTGTCTTGTTGATATGATTACACGTTACTACAGAGACATGTTAATACATGCCTGTCAATCAATTCAGTGAGCAGAAAAACCGCACTCCTACGTCACGTAGTGGTCTGCCTCAAAATGGGAGCAATTTAGGTCCTATTTTAAAATCAGGAAATTTCAAAAAAGAGATGTATTGTCTTTATATCACCCCAACATGACTGTAGACACTAAACCGACACACAGTTCTGCAGGCCCGTGCAGAGACCGTCCTAAGGGCATGTGCAGGATAAATTTTTTGAAGACCGGGGGGGGTGGGTTGGTTGTTGTTGCGCGCGTTCTGATCAGCTGTGTTGTCGCGCGCGTACTCAAGAGCGGGACCGAGGGTGTGCCGCGTCGCGGGGGCACTTTTGATCATTTTGGAAGGGCACTTTCTATCCAAGACTAAAAAGGGCATGTGCACTGCACAGGTTGAGCCCTATGTGTGCACGTGCCTGCAGTTCTGTACAAACAACCTACAAAATATGTTTTTCATCATAGGTGCCCTTTAATACTACATTATGCTGTAACATTCAAATAAAAAGTGTTGTACATACAATATATACACAGTACAATATACTTCATGATTTAAAAACACTACAGTATTTACTAATAATTACTACAGTATTTTTTAAAAGGGAGAGATAAATACCACACTGACTCACTGTCACTCACTATATTGTTTTTACAAGTTACAATCACAAGTACAAAAACAATCACAGCAAAGAAAAAATATATAAATGATTTAGAACCTTTTAAAGCCAATCATCTCTGAAATCCTTCACTATCAACAGTACAGAAGATTCACATTATAAGCAAATAAAATGCCTTGCTATCAACAGAAGAACAAGAAAAAACCTCACCCCAAAATAGAACCAGTTGACAATGCTTTGATAAACGCACAGCTTTAAGGAAGGTTTATTTAACATCAGCTTGTTTAATTAAACGACACAGTCTTGACAGCATTTATCAAATATTGTTTATAAATCACATGTGGCCTTGAGTTAAATCCAGAAAGAGCAACTGGTGATCCTCTCTTTTAACAAACAATAACTTGTCACTCATTCAGAAGTGTCTCAGGTTTATCATATCCAAATAACTTAAAGTCGGTTTCATAAAGACTGTACAGCTTTCTCCTGTGTGCTACTGAAATGTTTGCAAACCATTCTCGCTCCCAGTCTACCGCAGTCCTGTTCTCATTTCCTGGAGGAAAGTGAATATGTTTATCCAGTCCAAGAATCTTAAGCAAATGTTCTGTGTCCTCATCAAGAGTTTCTAGCTTCCCAATAAAGTCATAGTCAATTTGACATGGATGGCAAAGTCTGTGAATCTGCTGCCAATGCTCATTAAACGGCTTCTCCTTCTCAGTCTGTGGATCTAACAGATACTGAATAAAGTGAGTAAAGGACAGTCTGATACCTGCACTGAAGGCCTCTTGAGCCGAAGCAGGGGGGTGTGAAATATTAGCATAACGCTGAAGCATTGTGGAGCCATAATTGGAGTAGAAGTACTCATCTGGCCTATTAAATTTGGCTCGAAAAGCAGAAATAAGGCGCACGAACGGATCCCGTACAAAAAGGAACTTAGTGTAGTTCTTCAGCTTTTGATGCATCAGAGGACGAGCGTATCGACCATGGTGGATCCATAAGTTGTTAAATGTCTTATGCACTGTAGAATTATGGATTACCTCTATTGGTATGTCAAGAGGATGCAGATATGGAGCTCCATCAGGTGCCTTCAGGTTCTGGCTGAGCACAATCATTACTCGCTTCCAGTTAGTACAAGCTACCTTGGGTACAAAACAGTAAATCACACGGTGACGATCGTCCACAATGAGATGATCCAGAGCTTTGTTGGGAATCTGGTCAAATGTGATTAATTTATCTCGGAAAAGCAGGCTGCTATTGGCCAAACAAAGCTTGTTTATTAGATGTTTACGATGTGCTTGACGCTGTTTCAGATTTTTTGATGAATCCATGTGCTGGTAAGTTCCAACTCTCACCTCATCCCAGAAGACTACTATAAAAAACAATGTGATGAATACCGCTCCCAAAAGAAAACAAAAGTGATGGAGCTTCTGCATTCTGATTCTTGACAGAAGTCTGTACCAGATAGTCAGAACTTTGCTAAATATTATTTGTCGTGGGAATGAGTCCAGTTGACGATTCTGAAAAAGAATAAAAAAATAAGAACAAGTTCGCTAAAGCCTCAATTTACTGTCAACACTCAAGTGATCCAATAATATGCTGTATGTGTCAGAATGGTTTACATGATTTATGATCACAAACCAGTTAGTTTGGTTTGTTAGATAGATAGATAGATAGATAGATAGATAGATAGATAGATAGATAGATAGATAGATAGATAGATAGATAGATAGATAGATAGATAGATAGATAGATAGATAGATAGATAGATAGATAGATAGATGTACTTTAATATTTAAGGCTATTTGGGTAAGCCCACTTTTTTTCTACTGGTGGGGGGAGGGAATTTTGCTTTGATCTTGAGAGTCCCTTGCCACATATAGGCTATAAAACACAAATGATCCCTGTGCTTAAACAGCAATGTATAAATATAAAACAAATATTTATAGGTTATAATTGCAACTAATTTTACAAAGTAGGCTGGTTTACTTTCTCGCTAAAAAGCGCTTGTTTGTCATCAATAACTTTCTTTGACCTTGGAAAATATCTTTTGAGGGATTTTAATTTTACATGCACGAACAACAGCAGCCTAATCAACAGAACATCTTTGTCTAACTTAACCTGCAGTGCTTCTGTGAGAGGAATACATTCATTTAAAATCAACAGACCTGAATATGTTTCACTTAATGTCTCAATTAATCATTCGCTGAGTATACGATATAGCCATAAAAGTATATGACAGCAGTTTATATAAAAAGGGTTAAACATTGCTGTGGGAATTAAAGAGTAGGTTGATAAAAATTGTGGAAAATCTGGCTGCTTTCCATTACTCTTTATTGTCATATTTACCATAGTTGCATCTATTCACGAGAAAGTAAAATAGTTTGGAAGTGTAATGGGACAAACCTAGTTCGCTACACTTTCTGTGCACTACTGTATTGCCAAACAACATATAATATATATATTTTTTTTAATTAAGCGTAATTTTTTACATAAATTACTAACTCATGATGCACTTTAACCAGCCACGATAATTTGCAGAGTCGTACTTGTTATATTCTTATTTCAGATATATTTATTATATTATATTATTGATACAGTTATATTTATAATATAATATTTATTTAAAATATTTAATAAGTTTAAATATTATTTAATTAAAAGCATAGCAAAGCATATAGGTTTTATTGGTTTAGCCAAAATGTAACTCACACCAGTAGTAGAAATAGAATATATCCGCTCCTCGTTGGTTCAATGCAGTCTGTGCTTCCTCCACAAATGAAAAAGACGTCCTGTCTGTCGAGCATAACTGCATGTATGTGAAAATGGGAGTATGGAGCAACTGTGCCTCGGGGGAGCCACTTCCCATTCTCGTGCGTGCATTTACGTACCATACGTTTAAAACTGTGTTGTTCCATAAAATAATACTTGATTATAATATTTAGACAGTCATTATTTTTTATTAATCATCATCATTTTTGTTATCATCATTATATTTATTAATATTATGCATTTTATTTATGTTGTGTGCTTTTCTTTTATGCACCTTACTGAATTTTCCTATCAGCATCTTTGTTGTTAGTTTATGTTAAGTTAAAGTCCTAAAAAAGGTGGTGTACTATTACCCACTTAACCCAAACTTTAAAATAAACAGTCAAAGAAATGACCAAAGTTCTTGAATTCGATAGCAAAATATATATTTATTTAACATCAGTTACTTGTAACTATTGACTTCCACAGAAAGAAAAACAAATACTATGGAAGGCAATGGTTACAGGTTTTCAGCTTTCTTCAAAATCTCTTCTTTTGTGTTAAATAACAGGTAAAGGTTGAGTAAATGATGACAATTAAATTTTTTTTGGGTGAACTAGTCTTTTAAAAAATAAAAATATTTAAACTAATTTGTTAATCTAAAGTAAGATGCTAATAGTCTAATCGTACTTAATGATTTATGCTCAGCTATAGTGCCCCACTATATATGTTATAGTACATTTAGCTGTATTAACTCTATAGTGACTTGTGACTTCTTGTTAGCATAAACTGTGAATTTAAAATGAAAATCAGGGGGTGGGGGTGGAAGCTACGCACAAAAACTCAAATAAGCGACAGTATTTTAATATTAATTATACATCATTTTAACATAAAAAAGAATCAATCAAGTCAGTTAATTAAGTTAACTTAATAGGGTCTGTGCATACATAGAAACACAGCTTTTTAACTTACATTCTTTACTGGCTTATTACTTGACATTTAATAGGCTCCTTTAAACATCACATTCATGCATGCTTGTTTTAAACCAAGCTAATAGGAGACTAGATATGACACTAAAAACGATGAGGCAAAGACAACTCATAAATCACGTAATGATATGTAATTTAAAAGGGTAACTACCATAGCGATAGCAGAAGACAGTCATTCCCTGTTGTGGTGGGCACGATTAAGACAATTGTCATATACTGTTTTACAGGGGCCATTTTAGAATTTTCATTTTAGGGAAACTCAGCTGCTTACGGGGTAAACAAAGAAAAATGTGTAATACCATATATTAATATAAATTAGGGATGTCCAAATGCGATTACATGATCAGAAATTGGGTTCGATCACTCGATCATAATCGGACGTTACCTTCCGATCAGGACTCAAATATATATATATATATATATATATATATATATATATATATATATATATATATATATATATATATATATATATATATATATATATATATATATATATATATATATATTCTCATTATTTTTTAACACAAACAGGGCCGTTGCTGGCCAAAAGGGTGCCCTATGCGTAATTTTACTCTCAATAAAATATAAATACTTAAAATATAAACACTCAAAATTATACTTAAACATTCAAATATTTGCATTACAAAATAAAATGCTTTTATTTTAGCCGAAATAAAACAAATAAAACTTTCTCCAGAAGAAAAAATATTATCGGACATAAAGTGAAAATTTCATTGCTCTGTTAAACATTATTTGGGAGATATTTAAACAAAGAAAAAAAAACTTCAAGGGTGGGCTAATAATTCTGACTTCAACTGTACATGCACACATGATACACTATACATATACACACACTCTATACATATGCACACATGATACACTATACATATACACACACTCTATACATATACACACACTCTATACATATGCACACATGATACACTATACATATACACACACTCTATACATATGCACACATGATACACTATACATATACACACACTCTATACATATGCACACATGATACACTATACATATACACACACTCTATACATATACACACACTCTATACATATGCACACATGATACACTATACATATACACACACTCTATACATATGCACACATGATACACTATACATATACACACACTCTATACATATGCAAACATGATACACTTTACATATACACACACTCTATACATATGCACACATGATACACTATACATATACACACACTCTATACATATGCACACATGATACACTATACATATACACACACTCTATACATATGCACACATGATACACTATACATATACACACACTCTATACATATGCACACATAATACACTATACATATACACACACTCTATACATATGCACACATGATACACTATACATATACACACACTCTATACATATACACACATGATACACTATACATATACACACACTCTATACATATGCACACATGATACACTATACATATACACACACTCTATACATATACACACATGATACACTTTACATATACACACACTCTATACATATGCACACATGATACACTATACATATACACACACTCTATACATATGCACACATGATACACTATACATATACACACACTCTATACATATGCACACATGATACACTATACATATACACACACTCTATACATATCCACACATGATACACTTTACATATACACACACTCTATACATATGCACACATGATACACTATACATATACACACACTCTATACATATGCACACATGATACACTATACATATACACACACTCTATACATATGCACACATGATACACTATACATATACACACACTCTATACATATGCACACATGATACACTATACATATACACACACTCTATACATATGCACACATGATACACTATACATATACACACACTCTATACATATGCACACATGATACACTATACATATACACACACTCTATACATATACACACATGATACACTATACATATACACACACTCTATACATATGCACACATGATACACTATACATATACACACACTCTATACATATACACACATGATACACTTTACATATACACACACTCTATACATATGCACACATGATACACTATACATATACACACACTCTATACATATGCACACATGATACACTATACATATACACACACTCTATACATATGCACACATGATACACTATACATATACACACACTATACATATGCACACATGATACACTATACATATACACACACTCTATACATATGCACACATGATACACTATACATATACACACACTCTATACATATGCACACATGATACACTATACATATACACACACTATACATATGCACACATGATACACTATACATATACACACACTCTATACATATGCACACATGATACACTATACATATACACACACTCTATACATATGCACACATGATACACTATACATATACACACACTCTATACATATGCACACATGATACACTTTACATATACACACACTCTATACATACACACACTCTATACATATGCACACATGATACACTATACATATACACACACTCTATACATATGCACACATGATACACTATACATATACACACACTCTATACATATACACACATGATACACTATACATATACACACACTCTATACATATGCACACATGATACACTATACATATACACACACTCTATACATATGCACACATGATACACTATACATATACACACACTCTATACATATGCACACATGATACACTATACATATACACACACTCTATACATATGCACACATGATACACTATACATATACACACACTCTATACATACACACACACACATATTCATACACGATACACTATACATACACACACTATACATATGCACACATGATACACTACATATACACACATTTTTTTGGGCAAAAATAACCAAGCAAGGTTCAAACACTCAATTTACTTAGTTTCACTTTTATTTTATACAATAAACTCAAATACTAAAATTCCACAGACCGGGAGCAGAAGGTATAAAATGTTCACCATGTTCATGATATATTATTAGCAGGCTGCATAAACCTGATTGGTTAAGGCAACTAAAATGACAACCACTAGGGATTTAACGAGGAGGTATCAACCGTAATTGTGCCGTAATTGTGGGTGGGGGTTTGGCGCTCAGTGTGGGCCCGTCCACTACGCCACTGCTACTCTATAATGCCATATGATTATTTTAATGATGTGCGTGCTTTTGGTTTCGCTGCTGTTGGAGGGGGGGGGGGGGGGGGGTATTGATGACGCGGGGCCCCCTTATAGAAATTAATACTCTTACTTTTGTGAAATTCTTTTTTTATATTAAAATTGAACATTTTTACTAGTAGCAGTTCAGTTGTTGATATTAACAATATAATTTTCATATCAACAATTAAATTGTTGATATCAGGAATTGGCATATTAATTGAAACGGCAGCTTTATGGGGATTTTACGCCGGTAGCTAAGAATTCTGGCCCAGATTTGGCATAAAGCTGGCACGGCAGGCATTCATCCATCCAGCACTGGCATAAAGCATGTGGGTTAAACATGGCCAGGGTTTGGGAGAGATGGCACACAATACTTGAGCCAGATGTAAAATGTAGTATTTGACCCAGATGTTAATAACTGTTATGTGGGCCATGTACGTTTGGTCGGTCTTGACCCCCATTTAAAATACATTTTTATTATTTTCAAATAAAGAAATAAATTCTACCAATCAGGTCACTTTGAGAAAAAGCACACCCAGCAGAACTCCTAAAGCACAATGATTCATGGGATTATCAATATCATTGACGCAGTTCAGTTTCAGTTATGGGTTATTAACTTGGCTGAGATTTGGCCCAGATCCATGTTTGGCCCTTGTCTGGGAGCCAGATTTGACCCAGTCATGTACTGTAATTCACTGCAGCATGTGGGCCGAGCAAAAGCTGATTGTGTGGGTCAGAGCTGGGACCAAAAAATTTTGCTATACAAATACAGACATCAACAATTAAATAGTAGATATCAACACATCAATTCTTGAAATGAACAATAACATTTTTGATATCAACAATTTTATTGTTAATTTCAATGAACTGAGGAGGAATAAAAGTCAAATCGGCTTGCCCTAATCCCCACCCAGTGAACA